CCGCGCATACACACACACACACACACACACACACACACACACACACACACACGGTGGAGGATTAGCCGTGCAGAGAATGCACTGCTGACACGGACTGCAGGCAGTGCAGACCAACCTCAAGATGTTCCGCTGAGTGAAAGAAGCCAGACACAAAAGCTCCCGTATCACATGATTCCATGTATAAGAAATATCCCGAATAGATCAATCCATGGAACAAGAACGTCGTTGGGGAGTTTTTTGGTTGCTTGGTTGGTTTTGTGAGGTGAAGAGCACACAGATGAATGGAACAAATTGCTTCATGGGAAGAGGTTTTGCTTTGGAATCATGGGAATTTGTTGTAACGGGAGAGAGTCGTGTTTGTACCCTGCTCTGAATGTGCTGCCTGCCACTGACTTACTTACCTCAAAACGGTTAGGTTTATGGTGTGTGAATTTCATCTTGATATGAATAAATTCTTTTTAAAAGTGAAAATAAATAAACCGTCCAGGAGGATCATTCTTAAAGAGCAGTTTGGCTCAGTAGGCGGCAAGATTTTTGTTTTGTTTTGTTTTGTTTCGAAGTCCTCTCAAGAGAAGACCAGGAATTCTGTGGATACTGCCGTCAGCTAGTCTGTGGACAATGAGTCCGTGACAAATGTTATTTTAACTCAACGGGTTATTAAACAGCACAAGTGCGGAACTTACAAATTCTCTTAAAACCCTGCTGCACATCTGGCCACGTCAGTCGTAAAACAGCTCAGGTGTGAGACCCTCGGCTTCATTTAGTCTCCTGGCTTCGCAGAAACTACCCCCACCTACTACTGTCCGGGCCACCGGCCACCGCAGCTGGACACAACGAGGGCCTATAAACTGCCACTCGGTCATCCTAAAGGCAGCCACGGGACGGGGCTTAGCCCGGACAGCTCTGTCCCCGAAACACTTTCTCGGTTAGAAATTCTAAGGTCCCTGAGTGTCCGCTTGGAGCGACAAGGAACTTTTGGACGTGACTTGTGGTGATGGCTGCATCCTGCGGGAATGTAATTCATCTCACTCTGATACTTAAAAATGGCTTGCATGGGACTTTTTTGTTATGTATATTTTAACACAATAAAATTTAAATGTCTCCCAGCTGAATAAGACCAGACCTTGCACTGAGTGGTCTCAGCTCTGCTGAGGCGGCTGGAGGCGGAGTGAGAGGTGGTCAGTGGAGGGTGGGAAACATGGGGGATGTGGGGGTGGACTCAGGCAGCCCCTCACGGGAAGAGCCACCCTGAACAGATGGCTCCCTTCTGTGGCTTCAGTCTCTCTCTCTAACCAGGGATAGAGACTGTGTCTGCCTCGTGACATTGTTGTGAGGAGTCAGTCATGAGACGTAGGCTGCATTACGTAGTGCCTGCCACACAAGCAGTGCTTACTACGGCCACTGCGTCAGTAAGGGTTGCCTCTGGTTTGAATCTGTGAGAGGAGGGCTCTGAGGTCGGTTGGGGAAGCATGGTAACTCTGTGGGTCAAGTGTTGGGCTGCTACCTGCAAAGTCGGTGGTTTGAGCCCACCATCCTCTTAAAGAGAGACAGATAGAGCTGCTTGCTCCTGTAAACACGGAGCCTCGGACACTTGATGGAGCCATTCTGCTCCGCCCGGTAGGGGCAGGCTGAGAGCTGTAATAGACTTGATGGCAGTGGGTTTGGGTTTGGGTTTGATGTGTCCTACCCTCCTGGAAGGACAATTTAGAAACTCTGAGATTGCTCTCTCTCTCTGTGTGTGTGCATATTCTACATCCTGGAAGGTCACTGGGAATCTGCCCCCATGCAACTCTTCCCAGACCATATATGGAGAGAGACACGCATTCACACCAGGGCTGTAAAAAGGAGTAAGAATGTCTCCTCTCCGCTCCCATCTTGTGTGTTCCTAGGAGAAAGCCCTCCTAGGGTGGGCGACTCTCTCTACCCACCCAGACAGGGTGGGATCTGGGACCCCCTGCCTCCTCAGCTCAGTTCCCAACACTAGCCTGGCAAGAAAGCATCTTCTACTGGGAGGGTGGGAGGATGTCAGGAGGGACATCCTGGGCTGGGGAAGGGGTGCCGCCCCTGGGACTGTGCTCAGCCCCAGACCCAGGCCCATTCAGGCTGCAGCAAGGAGCCCTCCACCAATTCAGTGACGGAAGCAGGAGCTCCAAGCTGCTAATTCTCATCATCATCATCTCTTCAGTTAACCAAGAACATGGCATCCCACCGTCACAGCAGGGGTGTGTCTGTGTGTCTAAACACGCCACATTCATGAGATCCCCATTTTTAGGATGAGGACACTGAGGGGCAGCAAGGTTATCAACTGAGGCAGAAGACTTGGTGTTTGCTTAAACCAGGTGGCTTTCTGCTCCCATGAACATTTGCGGCCTTAGAAATCCCATATGGCGGCGCTAGGAGTCGGAATCGACTTAGGGGCAGGGAGTTTATTGGTTGGTCTTGTCTAAACTGCTGGGTGGATGCTCCCTATGTCAGACGTCTGTCCTTGCCAGTCTGCTGTATGATGGCTTGGACATCGCAAATAAATCTGAAACCCAATTGCCCTCCAGCCACTTCTGACTCATGGCAACTTCACGGGGTCTTCAGCAGCAGGTCCCCAGATCTCTCTTCAGAGACACCTCAGAGTGGGTTTGAACTACCATACCAGCCTTTCAGTTAGTAGCCCAGCACTTAACTGTGTCCCCCTGGACAGGTGGCTCCCTCTGAAGCCTCGTTCTCGCTCTGAACCGAGGATAGTGATCATGTCTACCTCAGGCTTTGTTTTGAGAAGTCAGTCAATCGCTTTTCATAGAATGCATTAGGTAGTGCCTGCTTGCTATGAGCAAACAACACCCTGGCTGCCTTTGTTAAACAGCAAAACTAGCAGAACAAAAACCCAAACCCACTGCCATCTAGTTGACTCTGGTTTGACCAGCCCCCTTCCTGTGAGCAGTCAAATGCTTACCCGAAAAGCACTACTAAGAAACAGACAAACATAAAAACCTCATTGCCATCCAGAAAGACCCGACAGGGCAGAGCAGAGCTGCCCCTGTGGGCTCCCAAGGCGGTAAAGCTTCCCTGGGTTCCTTAAATATGTGTCCTAAATTGACAGGAACACTTCCCTAAGGTGTGAGTAACAGCCAATCCACAATGATTCAAAACTTAATTAAGGGGCAACAGCCATTGTGAGGATTTCATTGCCTAGAGCTGGGATCCACTGGATCCTGGAGAATGGATGCCCCCTGGGATCTTGATCCTGAGCTGAGTCCTCCTCTTGGCTGGGACTACCAGGCCCAGGTGCTCCCATGCTGCCCAGCCTGCAGCCTGTGATTTCGGGGACTAATGGCCATAAGGCCTCTAATGTGGTGTTTAAACCAATAAGGCTTCAGAGAAGTCACGGTATGTTTAATAACGGCTTAATGACTCCTTGTGAGATGCAAGGCTTCTGGTTCCTGTTTGGCCTTGATTTACAGCCCAACTCAGGCTGAGGACAGCCAAGAAACCCCTTCTAAGCCCCCAGCGGAAGAGGGAGGTGTTCACACCAGGCCTCGTGGATTCCTTTAAAAATTGAGAATTCAAATGAAATACAAATGATGCTTGGCTCCCCACCCCTTTCCCTAGTTCTCGGGAAGCCTTGAAAAATAAAGAGGGTTTAACCGGGCCCCCAGGGTGCCTCACCCGGCAGTGGGAAGTGAGCAGGGTCCTAGGGCCCTCGGTATTTCCTCTTAGATCCAAGATGGGGGTGAGTGGTGTCTCTCCGCTCAGAGAAAGCAAGGGACTGTGGAAAAGTAACCCAGTGCTTTTGGGTTGGGAGGACCCAACATGGAGGAGATGCACTTAGCCCTTGACCTCCTCCAAAGGCTCGGGGGAGGTGCAGGCCTACGCTGCGGACCACCCTCTTCAGGTGGGTCTCCAGCCACTTCCAGATCTCTGGCCCGTGGAACATCTCACTCATTGCGTGCTGCGCAAGCGGATAGTCCTGCACCTCCGCTAACAGCCGTCACCTGCCCCAGACAGGGTCCAGCTCCACTGGCCTCCAGATTCACAGATGAGCACATTAAGAGGCCAGTTCAAGG